GTTAACGTCAGCCAATAAATATCTGTACCAATCTTGGCCTACCGCTTTAATAATCTAACTGAAGTATTGCAATCTTTTCGCTTGCTTTTTTTGCTAGTAGAAATGGTAGGATAATCTCCAAATTTGCAAAGAGTGCGCCATTTGATGCTTTACCATGTTTTCGTGCAAACAATGATGGCTCTGTGCACGTTTTGTACTGTTTTATTCATTTTACATACCCTATTTCTAACCCTTTTTCAAACTTTCAGGTCCATTTCCGAGGGTGATTGTGCTCCTAACGTGCCTTCTTCTGTACAGATTGTCGAAGTTTCATGTGAAAGTCCGGCGCCTACTACTTCAGAATCGATCGATCTTGAAACAGCTTTATCAGTAGAACAAGAAACGAGTAGTGAACCACCTGCAGATGCTTCCGCAGGATCTAGTTTGTTCAATGTGAGTTTTCTAATAGTGCCATTGGTGACGTTCGAGAAACAACATTTCCTGAGATATTGTTTTCTCGCCACAAAAAAGTTGTCAGGCAGTTTCTGTCTTCCTAAAGCTCCTCGTGACCACTTGAAATAGCAAAAAAAGATTATATATATATAATATATATTATATATATATATATATTGTTTTAGTGTGAGTGGGTTGACAACTTGTACTTCAACTCACTCGCCCCCCTACCCGAGATTGTGCAAGAACCTTACTGGAAGTCAATGGAGAAAGAGCTTATAGAGCTCCGGCAGCAAGATGCGGTTACGTCAAAGGATCTGGAAGAGGTTAGATATCTGATTTTGTTGTTTTATTTACTCAAAAAAGAATGATGTTCAGTCGAATATCTACATGTATTCTCTTCAACTATCTTTGTGTGCGATGGAAGAGGCGAGATGGTTCAATGAAATGTCAAAAGATCCTGAGTTGTCGAAGCTCTTCAATGAGGTTTTTCCATATTTTTTCCCATACTTACATTGAGTTTCCTATTAAGTATTTTAGATCGACCCTAAATTTCCTTTGGCTGTAAATCACCTGCCTGGTGATGCAGAAGGCTGTGGTCCATCTACATCTGAAATGACCGCTTCAAACGAGAACCTTGACAAGAAGGCGGAGACACCAGCAGATTCCGTCGTTTCATGCAATAATAATCCGACTTTTTTCCTGCACAAAAGAAGGTTTGATTTTCATGGAAGCTTTGCAAACCTCAGGCTACTAAGCATATTTTGAGGTCCATTCGCCGCCCTCAGCTTCATGGTAGTGGAAATTCGTTGAAAAGGTCTGATCCAACGTGCGCTGAGTTGGCAGCGACTGCTTTGGAAAGGTATATAGATTTTGTATTGAGAGAAAGATTTAAAG